TTAAAAATTAATCCAGATTTTCCTATGTCAAGTTTTCCAGTAACATCTCGAAATATTACAACTGCATCATCATCATCTCCATCATGTTCATCATCAGTTCCATCAACATTATCAATGGATCCATGGCTTGTTACACCATTTACAACATCAAATTCATCATATTGTACGAATACAAATAATTCAAATAATCCTGGTGGTATACCATTTTTTCCAACAAATTGTAATGTATCAACACTTTATTCAACGTCATCATATCCAACACCACCACTTCATCATCCATATGCTTCATTTTCTTCGGATACAAATGATATTCTAAATGAAACAAATAATAATAATAATAATAATAATAATGTTGATTCAATTGCTCATTTACGTATTAAAGCCAAAGAATATATGAGTGCCATTATTGGAACAACAAATCATGCAAAAAATCATCTTGTATGGCCTCAAGGTGTATAAGAACCTAAATTTTTTTTTTCTTTTTCGTTTTTGAGACTATTTGTATGCAGAGAGAGAATTTCCTATTGTGCTGCTATGATTTGTTTTTCTTTTCTTTTCATTTATATATATAAATATAATTCAATGAATTAGCTAAGTATTTCAATATATATTGCTTGGTTTCTTTTATCATTAATTTAGTTAAAAAAGAAAAAAAAGAAAAGGTAAGTCTATGTAAAAGTATAATTGCTGACAGACGTCATCATCATTGCTTCTTTTTCTTTTTTTTTTTCTTATTCTTTCTCGTCTCTACTAATTCATCATGAATATAATGACGATCAATTTTGTATATAGCAAGTAGTTAGACGCACGCGACGAGATTAATAAGGTAGGTACGAGACCGACTGCATAGGAAAAAAGAAAACGAAAACTCAAATATTATTACTTCAATTAATGACACGCTATGTTAATTGTTTAGGTAAAGATTCACCTTTTTTCTTTTTAACCCCCTCTATATAATATGATCAATTTTCTGCTCGAATGGACTTTAGTGTATGTGTTGATTACTTCATCATCATCACACCATACAATGATAATAATTGATTTCGACTATACACAATTGATTTCTTATCAAAAGAAATATTTTAAGACATTACCTTTTGTCATACATTAATGATGATTATGATAGACCTAAAGGCAATATAAAGAATTCTCAAGAGATATTATCTAAACAACTAGTGTCATTTGAATAGGAAAAGACCTTATCAATTTAAATATAAAATGAATCTTAATATATTCAATTGTAATCATATATATATATAAATGTACACAAATTGATCACATTGACAAATCTATAAATAAAGTGGGCCACAAAAGTTTAAGACACTTTTTATTTTTTGTAATTTTTTTTTAAAGGAAAGAAAAAATAAATATCTATATATATATATATATATGTAAGTAGGATTGAGGTCTATATGGTTCATTTATATGTCATCAAATTGGTCGTTAGCTGAGAATGTACAGCGAAATACAATTTTTTTCTGTATAATCAAAAGTTTAAGTCACTTTTAGTATGTTATCGATTTTATTGTTATTGAAAACAGAAAAAAATCCACTAAAATATACCATTAGATACAAAATTAAACGAGCTACATTTTGATATAAAAATTTTTTCTTAATTATTGATTTTAATAATTAAATATTAATAATTAATAGTTTTAATTAATTAATTAATTAACACAATTTATTTTCATGTTTTTTAATTTTCAAGTATATCATAAGAAAGAGCATTGAAAACTGAACAAAGCTATGTATTTTTTGTTTTGCAATAACTAACTACAATAGAATTTTTTGAAACACGTTTTATAAATTCAGTAATATCCTATTAATAATTAAGAAAATTAAGATTCAAACAAGAAATTTCAGAACTCTGGAAAATAGTGCATTTTGTAGAGCACAATTTTTTCTATCGAATGATACGTTGCAATCTTCTGTATAATGTATGTTTTATTAAATATATAACTCTAATGACATTTAAGTACCGAATAAGTAGAAAAAAAGTAGTAAGTGTCTTAAACTCTTGTTGTTCACTTTATATCTGATTAATTGTAATGATAATTTGTACATTTAATTTTTTTTTTGTTAATGTTGTGTGAAAAATATTGAAATAGATGATTCAGTTAATAGGATGATAAAATCATTTTACTATTATAATTAATGACATCTTAAGGATAATATGTATGAAAACGAATTATTCACGATATTTTAATCTGGATAAAGAAACTTTTAGTTGATTTATTTATATTATGCATTTCTTTGAGTTGTTAAAGATTGTGTAGAATGAAATAGATGGATCGCAAAAAGTTTCATTGCCATATCAAAAGTACAGCTGTTTTGATTTATTTTCTATCGAAAAATGTTTTTTTCTAAATAGAAATATTAGCTTTTTGTACTCAGCAATAAGATTGATTGAAAAATTCTTAGCGACACCTTACCCTAAATTCCTTTGCTTCACATTGATTTCAAATATGTCTTTACTTTTCTGTTTCAATCAAGTTCTCCTTGAAAGCTTGACCATCGCAACCATCGATGGAGAAAAGATGCATGGTGAGACTTCTTCACGTCTCACGATTATAGCCAATTGAAGTAGTCTATGTGTGACACAATATAGACATATGAATCTTTATTCGTTAATAAGAAAATAGAGAACAACGCATTTAAATAATGAAAAACTAGAAAAATGTCAAAACAAAAGTTTTTGAACTCTAGGAAAAAACCTAGTGTTTTCATCGTAAAGTATTTATTTTTTGGATTGCTGCTTGGAATCAGGATTCATTGAGCTCTATTTTTAGCCAAAGTATCAGGCAAAAGTATTGAAATTAATGTACTTTTCACCCGTTAGTAGGACTTCTTATGACTACTATGTAATAAAATTTATGATGTTCGTGATCTTGATCGATGGTACTATTATGAAACTATAACAAATGTATTCATTTGTGATCATAGTTATTGACAGTTATAATTCTTACACTTAGACTAGATTTAAAGATGTAAAGCTGTAACCAATGGTATCTATGTCAGAATACAGCAAATATTGAAAAGGTCTGCTTCGTCATCAAAGGATTAGTCGCTTTTCAACCTGGGAATTGCGGATTGTCTTGATCTTAATGGTCTATATAAGATTCATTCGAAAGGCCCATGCTTTAGAGTTTTCATAGAAAGAATTAATGAGCTATTAAAAAAATTGACAAATATGAGGTTTTGTGTTTCTTGATAACATCTAGCCAATGACTTATATGATTAATAAAGTTTTGTTATTTTACCATCTAATACTTTATGCAAGTGTATCAAGACATATCCTGAAACATATCACTCTTTAGAGGATTTGTACGAAAAATAATATAAAATCAAGATTTTTTTTTTTCTTTAAAATTTTTAAGATTTATATAAAGTTTCGTTTATCTCTGTTTTAATTTTAGGATTTGAAAAAAACAAAAAAAAATTTTTCAAAACTAAACTAATTTCAACTTATATTCATAAGGACAAATATCAAAATGTGTTTTTCAATTTCATTTTATTGATAAAATATTTATCTGTGAGTGGTAAATTTCTAACGTTTTGAAAAAGAGATATGAACTAAATTTTAAATATCAATTGTCAATCTATTCATATATCACAACAAAATAAACAATATACGTCAATGGATAGAACAAATGGAATTCAATAACAAACTTCGGTTGAAAAATTTTACTAGGCTTATATCAATTTAATGCTGAATTGAATATTATCTTTTTAATTTGTTTTATTGCGAGTTCACTGATTCAAACAACTATAATTTTTATTTTTTAGATTCATTTATTGAATTAATTTACTATTATTTAATGAGAAATTTTTGAATTTGTTGCTCTCTTAAGTCATTAATTCTTGATAATGTTCTTAAGAATTCTGATTTGGTATAAACTACAGAAAAATTCAAATATTATTACGTATAATGTGAACATGGGTTTCACAATTTTTTTTTCAGATATAAACTGTAAAAATAGTTATTTTCAAAGATTTATAATTGTTTTATAATAGAACATTTCACCATGTGAATTGTCAAATTTCTGAAACTACAATTTTCAAATGATTATATGGATTTTCATGTTAGCTTATTGGAACAGTGTATTAACAGTCTGCCATACATTGCTGATATTATCTTATTATCAAATTTTTTAAACATGAAGTAATAGTTTAACTTCATTATTTTGTAATTTTTTTAAAAATTGTATTTGCTACCTCGTGTTAAATGAATCATACATATTAAAAATAAAAAATTTTTCTTTCACTCTGAAATATCGTTTGAAATAACATATTTTTCAAGTTATATGTTGTCAATATTGAAATTATCAGTACTAATAATAATTGACTGTAAAATTTAATTATTTTCTTTTTTTTTAATATTTAATTTTTATTCAATTATATTAATCTGATATATCTATTTAATTACATAATTAATTATGAGATAAATACGTTTAGAATGAAAAGATAATAACATTTATTAAAATGTAACTTTAATTATAGCATAATTTTTTAATCTATCATAGAATAGTAAAAAAACGACATATAACTGTTAAATGGCGACCCCTTTCGTTCAGTCACCGTCACTATCTTTCACTTATGCATGTACTTTTTTTTTGTCTTTTCTTTGTTTTCTTATTTCTATTCGACCGAATAAAACCCGTGGTTATGTTTTTTTTTTGATCATTTCAAGTAAACTATGGAATTTGCATATATTTCTTCATTTTAAATAATAAATAATATAAGTGACAAACAAAACAAAAAATTATGATAAAGATAATAATAATAATATTTCTATAAAAGAAATTCTATTAAAATTTAAGGTTTCTTTATATATTTATTTATTTTGTAATAAATAGAATTTTCTTATTTTATTGTTATTGATTTGTTTATTTTTTTGTATATATTTACAATTATTTTAAGATATTGCTTACGATTATCGATTATAAATTAAATATTTTATTTTGTTTTTGTTTTTCTTTTAAAAAAATTTGGAAAAAAAAATGACTTCATCTACTGTCGCTCAACATACAACACAACCATTAAATTTTGGACCCGAATGGTTTGTGAAGACAAAAAAAAAATTTTTTTTTTTTTTTTTATTTTGCTTATTTTTCATATAAATAGGCTTCGAGCATTATCAACACCAGATTCAGCAACATCAATTCCATCATCTAGTGGTAGTGGTAGTGGAAATATATTTAAATTTGCAGCAACAAAATATCGTTATTCAAAAGATGAAATTTTAGCATTACGTGTTAATGTTTCAGAACGTTTAAATGAAGCTGTCAAAAATGAAATCATTGAAAATTTAAAAGATGTTGAAAATGTTTTTCGACCAAATATAATGGATCCATTATCTTTAACTGCACCAACTTCTGAAGAAACTGTAAGTTGTTTTTTTTAAAGAGAAACAAAAAAAAGAACAGCAAATTTGAAATATTTTAATTAAGGCTAAAATGAATGCACTATCAAGTTATATATCTGGTCGAACACCAGGTGGTGCTGGTCGTGCTGGACATAATTCTCAACAATCACAACAAGATTCACGAAATACTCGTCCAATGTCAAATGGTCGAGGTGGTTCAAGAGGTCGTGGTGGACGTGATCATACTTATGGATCAAATCGTCCTAATACTACTACTACTACTAATAATAATAATTCAGATGATAATGGTGAAAATGGAAATACTGGTGATGAAACAACATCTGGACAAACATCATCATGGTCTCGTAGTAATTATCATACACGTGGTGGATCATTTGGAAATCGAGTACGATCTTATGATGATCGGTATGTAAATTAAATTTTAGAATTCGAGAGAATTAAATTATGAACATAAGTAATAAAAGTTTCAACATGAGTATGTAATTATTCTAGTCTTATCGATAGAATTAGAGCAGTACAAATTAATTTTTTTCTTTTATACAATTCCATAGAATAAGTAACATGTTTTAAATGTAACTGTTAACTTCTGAAATATGATGATTTTTATTAATTTTAATCATAGTTTATATTTAATTTTGTTAAGTGAACAATCACAAACATTTCGTCGTGGTAGTACACGTCAAACATCAGATGGTTGGCGTCGATCACGAGGTGATGATGATGATAGTAATCAACAAAGTGAAGATTCATCAACACCAATTAATAGTTCAAATTCATGGACATCACGAGGTGGACAAATAAGACGTGGTGGTGGATCAATGGAACAACGTACAAAATCAAATGATAAATGGAATTCTAATGATGATCGATCTGGTATTAAAATATCAATTTTATATTTTGAGATTTATTTATTTTTTTTTTGTTTTATTTTAAGGACCATCGAATAGTTATGAATCAAATCAACAACGTAGTGGTGGATGGCGAACAAATTCGGATCGTGATCTTAATTTACGTCGTCCACAACTAAAACGAGATCGTAAGTTTTGTTTTCTTCTATTGACAATTATCATTTATCATGAATAACATCTGTTACTAAGATTAAAAGATCATTAGTTACTTCCATTTTATCAAAGTCTTTCTTAGTAATGGTTATTAATCTTTTGAAATTAATTTAGGTATGCCAGAATGGATGGATGATAATAATGATGATGATGATGATAATCATTTAAGTAATGCAACATTTGAACATGATGGAACATTTACTAGATCATCAACAGTTCGACAAAATAGTAGTAATGAACAACAACAACAACAACAATCACAATCAACATCAGATGAATCATTATCACAAAGCAATATTGTAATATATGATTTTTATTTTAAATTAAAAAAAATATATATATTTTTTTTCTATTAAAAAAAGGATTCATTACGACAGAAAGAAGAAATTCAACCTGAAAAATCAACACTTAAAGTAGATACAGCTGTTGCTAATGTTCCAGTTGCAACAGAACCTATTGGTAAATGATTTTTTTTTTTCTATAAAATTCTATAATCTTCATTTTTGATATCTTTTTTTTTGTGCAAATTCTAGTATCTCAATCAACACCTCCCGTACAACAATTTCTTCCATCATGGGATGATGATTATGATCAAAGTGATGTTGCAACAACTGTAGTCGAAGCAACACTTGCTGAAGTATGAATAATAAAATAAATTCTTGATTGAAAAAAAAAAAAATATTTTTCTAGGATCATGATTATTCACCTCCAATATCAACACATCCAACACCTCGTCTTATTTCAATGGAATCAACATCACATACAGTATCTAATATTCCACAACAACGAACACAAGTTATCATTGATGATAAACAATGGTTTTATAAAGATCCGCAAAATACTGTACAAGGTCCTTTTTCATCTGCTGATATGGAACGTTGGTTTGCTGCTGGATATTTTACTATTCTTTTACCTGTTAAACGTTTGGGTGAAACACAATTTTCAACTATACAACAATTAACAAAAGAATTGGGTCGTTTACCATTTCGTACTGATGTTTCATCACATCCATCAACACCTGTACAAAAACAACAACAACAACAACAACAACAAACGATTGTATCTGAATCACAAAAATTTAATCCATTACCATATACAACATCATCAACAGTAAATAATGCTTTTATTGATGATTATCTAATGCAACAATCACAATCAAGACAAAATCTACAGCATTCATTAATGTTCAATAGGTATTTTTGTTTTCAAATAGAATTTTATATCTAAAGAATGAAGTTAAACATTTTTTTTTACATTAATGCTTCCCAGTCAGATAAGCATTGCAAAAAAAAGGAGTTTTTACGCGTAACAAGCGTACATTTTAACGTTTTATGCAATTTGATTTTTTTTCGAAAAATAAAGGAAGCTTGTGAATGTCTACGTTGTGAAAATCATTTGATTCGAAGAAAAAAAACGTTTTTTTCAACTCGTGTCTGACTGAGTTGTCATGATAGTTAATTAGGAAAGAAATTCTCGAATCTGATATAATAGTTATTATAGTTTACTTTAAAGACATTTCAAAAAAGACTAATAGAAATTGTCATGCATTAAATATGCTTTATCCAAGTTCTCTTCTATTGTGAAGAGAGCTCAATTTCTATTTTTTATAATTCAACTCGAGATGATCTCTATGATGCATATTATTTGGATATTAATTGCTCTATTATTAGTTAGATTAGTCGGTATTTCATGAAAAATATTTTTCCGATCAAGTTTTTTATCTGGAAATAAAAAACAAAATGAAGCATTATTGAAAAGCTTTAACTTGAATAAGGAAGGAAGGAAGGAAGGAACAGCACTCCTACATTTCAGCTATTTTGCAATATGAGGTTTTGCCTAGCGGCTAATTCAATAGCTCGATATCTTTCCTACAACTATGATTAGTCGTAAACTCAGACAGAAGGCTGACCTAATGCAAAGTTCTTGCTATTAACTGCTTAAGCTCTCCGAACTACATATAGAGAATTAAACTAGACTAGCTTCCATAAAAGAATGCACAAATTTTGAACAAAATTTCTTTAGGATATGCAGTTTCCTGTATACACTACCCGCGGAAAAAGCTTTTTATATTGAAAATCTTATATTTCAAAGAGACTTGATCGGAAACTAGTAATTAAGTTGAGTTCTTTATACATGCAAATTTTCAGATCAAACTTTGAAAATAAGAGATTTTCAACAATATGAACTCTCTGCCAACTGATAAATTGCTTTTGAGTCAAAAATATGTGCATTACATATACCTAAATGAACTAGAAATACTCTTAGAACTTCAGAAAAAAAACTCATTTTCGAATTTTGACTTAAAATTTTGCATGCAGACAGACCTTAGGGAGAATTAATTTTTGTGAATGTCTTAGATCTTTTCGCTGTTTCTATCCTAAGATACATCCAATCGCTCATATAGACGTGCAGTTTTAATGCTCTTATTTCAGGATAGAAGTAAATCAAAAGACCTAAGTCTTTCACAATAAATTACTCTTGTTAAAGCATGTTTCTATGCAAAGTTTCAAGTATAAATTCAAAAATGAGTTTTCTTAATGTGCTTGTAGTTCTTAGAATATTCATAGTTCATTTGAGCCTACATAATACTCATAGTCTTGATTTCGTAATTTTTAGAGTTTGTATGATCAATATGTAATATCCATAGAGAAAAAAAAATCATTGAAATCGAAAGGTAATATCTGATCATCGCAATGCTTTTATCAAAATCTATCTATCTTAAAAATTAAGAATTTTACGACTCTCACTCAGATTATATTTTATATTTAATTCGATTCCCAAATTTTTGTTTTGTTTTTTTTCTATTTGAACATCTAATTCTCTTATAAATGAATATTCATCTTAAAAAATAAAAGCCTTCTCAATTCAACAATAATCGATCTTTAGACAAACATCTATGCCAGTATCAACAAATGATCGAAAACCAGTATCATCTTCATCGAATATATCTCCTCAATTACAAGCATATTTTAATTCTCAACAACAGTCATCATCATCATCTCTTTTTTCATCAAATTTGGTTCCGGATCCTGCAATAATTTATCAACAACAATTACAACGAAGTTTATCATCAACAAATCAACAACAACAACAACAATCAAATTCAATGTTATATGATGATATGCAACGTTCATTTCGTCATCTTCCATCACAAACAACATCAACAAATAATTCATCATATTTTCCTTCAAATATATCTCTATCACAACAACAAACGAATGATAATATAATGGCACGTTTATCTCAAGCAATGCAAACACATGGTAAATTACAACAAGAAAAACATGAAGAACAACGTCGTCTAGAACAACAAAGACGTGAATTAGAATTTGAACGTATTAAATTATTTCAACAAGCTGAACAAATACGTTTACAACGTGAAGAAGATGAACGACGTCAATATGAACAACAACAAGAACTACGTAAAAAACAAGAATTAAACAATAATAGACATATAATATTTGATCAATTAACAAAAACAATTGATAATAAAAAACAATCCACTATGGATATGGATCCATTTTTAGTATTTCAACAATCAATTCAATATCAAAAAGAACAACAAGCAAAAATTGAAGCACAACAGTAATGATATAATTTATTTCAAATTTGGATTTCTTTTTTTCTTTTTTACTTCAGAGCGGAAAATGTACGTCGATATCAAGAAAAATATCGTGAACAACCTCAACAACAAACAATGTATAAAATACCTGAAACAACGAATTGGACTCGACATCCATCACAGACGAATGATTTAACACAAACATATAATTTTGCTGAAATTCAAAAACAAGAACAGGAAAGACGTTCGAGAGAAGCAGCTGCTTTTGCTCATCAATACGTATGTCAAAAGTTAACGAAAAAAAATTGATAGAAATGATTTTATTTTAATAATCATGTCTATGCCTTTAATGATTTTGTTTTTTAAATTAAAATGATGCTTAAATTCGATGTTTTTATTTCATTAGTTCGTTATTAAATTAACATTAACATAGTATGAAGACAAAAATATCTCAGTTTAGGACATGAAATAAATGACTTGTGACAATTTTTAGTATGAAGTCTTACGCTGATCTTTAAAAAGTTTAATTAGTAAAATTATCGTAGATTTTATACTTTGATAAATTCTGTATGAATATATGTTGAAAATTCAAATGTTTTAAGTTCGGAACAATGAACACACTGAACAATCACATCAGGTTCGATTTCAACTAGAAAAGTTCTAAAAAGTTTCATTCTTGTTGGGCTTTGAAATTGAATTATGATTGTTTTACTGAACTTTGAACACATTTTTCGATGTTTACTAGAAAATCAAAGCATGGAATTTCGACATGAAATTTTCTCCGTAGATAAGTCTAATGACCCTTAGAATATTCCGATAGTTTCAACTAAAAAGAATACTCATTTGTCTAGATATTGAGTGTCGAAAAACAAATAGTCGTTTGCCACAGTTGATTAATAAAAATCGAGTTTATTTGAAAATTCAGTCAAACGATCATTATTCAGTTCCAACAATCTATGAGGACAAGTTCTTTGAGGTTTTTTTTCTAACTTCGCTAAAACATTTTGATAGGCCCAGCATGATTTAAAGCACTGAGTTTGAGTTGAAGTAGCTTCCACATTATTCAACGTTTGCATTATTCTTTCTATACAGTACATATCCAAAAAGTGACTGAAACGAAGATCACTGTTATAAATCATTGAGAAAAATTCAGTGATCTTTTGTTTTTTCAATAATATTCGTTTCGGTGCTAAGTTACATAATCGCTATGAATCGTTTAACTCAAACTTTTGTTTTCATTTGATAGACAAACTTGACTTGAATTACTTGAGTTCGCATTCATTTATGAAAGATATAAATAGATATTTGAATCAAACAATGTTCAAAATAAAACAAAGGATTCTATTTACACATCTAAGAAAAAATAAAATTCATTATTTCAAACATTTTGCTTGATTCGAAATTTATTTATAACTTTTTCTTTCCTAATTAATTTCTATTTAATTAGGCTAATTCTCAGACTTTACCTCTACAAAATTCCGCTTCATCATCATCATCAACCAATAAATCAGGTTCATGGGCTCAAACATTATTTGCCAGTAGCAATAGTGGTAATAGTAATGTTTCATCGACATCAAGTCATATATTGTCTGATCATGATACAAATGAGAATATATTAACTGAATCATCATCTATAGCATCTTATAATCAACAGGCAACAAATGCGGTACTGTCTCTTTTAAATATTCATGTATGTTGTATTGTGATTAATTCATGTTTTATTTATCTAACTTATTAATCTATGAATGATCGTATACACACATATATATATACATACTTATGCATATTAGAATAAATAAAAAATAATTTTTCTAATGTATTAATATGATTTGTTTTTTTTATTTTTAGCCTAAATCTCGATCGGCAACTAATCAACAGTCAACATCATGGAATGGTCCTAATAATGTATCTAATACATCAATTCAAGATATTCAAAGACAACAACAACAACAACAACAACAAACACAGGTAAGAAAAATATTTATTAGATGTTATTTTCTTACGTTTGATTCAATCTAGAACGAAGCAATACAACAACAACAACAACAATCACATCATATAACATCTGGTCAATCGTCAACAACAACACCTGTATGGACTGGTAATGTTCAACATTCGATTCCATCTCAACAGTCACCATCAGCTTTCTTATGGGCTAATCAAAATTCTTCATCATTAAATAAACCTATGACAACAAATACCAATAAATCATCGTATGTATCAACTATTCTGTAGAATATCAAATTTATGAATGCAACAGATGTTGTTGTTTCTTTTTTCCATTTCAATATCATGACATGATCCAATAGACAAGATATTGAATATATAATAAACTCTTTCTTGATTCATTTATGTAAATAAAATATTCAAAGAGTTGATAAAACTCTTGGAACCGTTTGAATTAGAGTTGTATCAAGGATTTTATTAATACTATTTCAAATAAAAGATTGATTAACATATTGTTTTCAATAACTTAGTACTTAACTAAATATAATTATCATCTTTTTCCATATTTATATTTGTAAACTCTAAATTCTTGTTTTTTTACACAGAATCAGAGAAAAACAATTGAACTTAAGTATATTAGTGTGATGAGCAGGTACTAATTATTCAAGGAGTGTGGTCCCTAATCTTTTATCTAAAATGGTTATGATATAGTAAATTTTTCGAATTAAAAAGAAAAAATATTATGCTTTTAGATTTTTGAAAAATTTAACTTTGCTGATTTTTTTTCTATTTGCATGTGAAAACTGTTAAATAGATACAGTGTAGAACTGGCACTATTGACTATAAGCATCTCAGCCATTCTTAGGGCTATTTATGTGAAATTTTTGGGTTATCCAAAGTTCTTCATTAGAATTTCGCTAATAATTAGCGAAGAGTGAGAGTTCAAAATTTTTAACGTATCTTTGACCTTAGAAATATAGATCAGTGAGACGAGTGCGACCTTATTCACTTGAATTGAAAAGGAGCTATGATCTATGGTAATCCTTCTCACAACAGCTTCGATAACTCAAGAAAAGAAGCTTATAAATCGGCTAATATATCAGTATTTAGTCCTCTAATACGGCTATTAACACCATAAATTTCATTCAATTTCAGCCAAGTGTGCAACACAAGCTGGAAATAATTTACATAATAATAGGTTAACCAAGTCATAGGCTCGTTTCCTTCTTACGAGGGAAGGCAAAACATTGATAATTAGCTTTTATAATTTTAGTAATGCTGTTTTGTAGATGTTGTTGAGTTACTAAAACATATAATAATCATTTGGGCTAATGGTGCGGGTGTGGGTGTAGTTACGGGATGTGGTTCTATGGGCTCGGGTATATGGGTATGAGTGTGTGGGTGTGTGGCTTTGTGAATATAGGCATGCAGATGTGACTAGCTTTGTATCTGTGGGAGTGTAATTGTGAATGTGTAGGTATGGGACGGGCATGTGTGAATGTGGGGGTGGGTGTAAATGTTTGCTTCAATCTTATACGCCTACACATCCCATAACCAAACTTTGATTATCAAAAATTTATCTTTAAACACACTTTTTATCTTGAATGGCTATAATATCAGCTAATAACTCAACAAGTTCTACAAATCGGCATTTTTAGAGCGTTAAAAGCGATTTATTGATGCTTTACGTTCTCTCATTAAGTTGTTGATCTACATGTGTAATACAGTGCATATACAAAAAGTTTTGAGGTGTGTAACCTTAAGAATAACTGAGATCATATGGAGTATCTTCAGTCAATAGTCTAATTCTTTATTGAATCCAATAGTACTAGTTTAAAACACTATCTAGTGCTGGTTTTCTTATGAGCAAAAACTTTGAAAAGTTCTCAATCAATGGAGAGAAACTATACCGATTGATTAAAGCAGATTGAATATATATATATATATATGAAGTGATTTTATCGTCAACTTATGTGTTATCCTTATGTATGAATTTGATTTTATTTTTGTTTAAATTAAATATAGAACCCCATGGACTGAATTAAAACCCACATCATCATCATCATCGCCATCATCAACAACAACAATAACATCCGGAAAAATAAATCTAACTAATGATGAGACAACAAAAAATGAGCATGAAACAAAATCTGTAATTAATACAACACGTACTCAAGATGCTTTATCAAAATGGGCTCAAACTCAATTCAAAGATAGTTTAAAAGATGTTGATGGTAGATAAAAACAAAAAAGATATTCTGCTTTTTTTTTTCTAAAATACTTTTCTTCATTATTCAAGTGCCAACACTTGTTCAATTATTAAAAGATATTAATAATGCTGGTGAAATTGTTGAATATGTGCAGCCATATATTGGAACAGTTAGTAAAGCTAAAGAATTTGCCAATGATTTTCTTTTAAAACGAAATCAATTAGCTAATGCTGAGGTTGACGAATATTTTTCGTAGTTATTAAATTTTTCTTTCAATTTTCTTCTTTTTTTTTCAAATTTAGCCTGACATGGATAATGAACGTTTAAATGAATTAGTTATGGCACCAACATCATCTAATGATAATAGTGGTAGTGGTTGTGATGAAGGTTTTCAATTAGCATCAAGTAATGGACAAAAGAAAAAAGCAAAAAAAATGAAAGGACAAAAAATCGATGCTAAACAACTCGGTTTTGTGGTTAATAATCGACCAGAACAACGAGATGATATTGATAAAGTACCAATATAAAAAAAAATTAAAAGAAAACATTAAAAAGTTCATCTCTTATTTTCACTATGTGTATATATTTTATATCGTTTATCTCTCTTGTCATTTCCGAACGTACGATTTTGTTCTTAAATCCATTGATAATACGTGCGGTTTCTTATGAGCTTTTTAAAAGTGTATACTGTTTTTTTTTGTCTGATTATACGTCACTTTTATTACATAATTATTATCGTTGAAAGCCTGTTTGTTGAGTCATTTGTTTTGTTTTGTTTTTTTTTGTTGTCTGATGTTGTTGGTTTTCTTTAACGATTCTTTATTCTATTATTATTTATAAAAAAAAAACTAAAAATCCGGACAGACAGAGAGATAAAATGAAAAATAATTATATTTTGATTTGTTTTGTTTTGTTTTTCTCGAATTGTTTATAGGTAAGTTTATGAAATGTATAACATTTTTAGATTATGGCTGATTTAGATGATGAACGACTCGTACAAGATCCTGTCTTGGTGCGTTTGAAATTTCATAGAAACTTTTTTTGTCTCATCAGAAATGAATATAAAAGATATGACAAATCTATTATAAGTTGAATATAAATCGTGTCTCTGAATCTCCCTATTGATCATTAACACATTTTCACATGTATAGTCAATATATTTTAAATGTTCAAGTAGAAAAAATCGAAATCAATGAACTTTATGGATTGTGATTAATAAACTTTGATTTATCTATATTCATCACAAAACATTTTCTTTTGAAGTTTGTATAGGTTTAAAGTACTATTCACTGTAGAAAAATTTACGCAGTAAAAGCTCACATAAATTATAATAGAAATGTGTATAGGTTATACTACCCTACCGAGTAAGGTATAATGTACGAAAAAAATTCACCCTAGACATCTCTCTAATAAGAATATATTTTTCTCTTTATCACTTTTAGAGTCTTGCAACTAGGATAGGATTAAAGGAGAGTGAAATGAGAAAAGTCGCAGGATAAAGTACGGATAGAGATTCTAGAAGGTAAGTTACAAAACATGTTCAGCCACAATTAGAGCTAATTGAGTTAAAAGTTTTCGGACCGAAACGTATTCAAGCCCGAAACTAATCTAACGGGATCTAGTCAAAGTATAAGGCACGCAACAAAGCTTATCCTGCATATCTCTACTTAATGACTAATTTCCTCTCTTATAAACTACTAATTATCCTTTTTTTTTTTTTGACAAAAGATTTTTGTTTTGAAATGGATTATTTGATAAAGAGTTTTAAAAATTTTATTTTTTTTTTCGATAAAAAAAAATAGAAACATAAAAATTTGCTTTATTTTTCTTTAGAGATTAAAAGCAGCACTTCATGCAGCATGTGGTAAAATTTGTGACCAATTACAAATGCAATCAAATGTTACTGTAGATAAACAAGTCGTAGCTGCCATTGGTGATATAACATTTCAACAAATTGAAACATTTTGTCAAGATCTTGATGTATTTTCAAAGTAAGACACCTTCTTCTTTTTTTCTTGTTGTAATTAAAATTTTCATCCATTTAGACACGGTAAACGAACGACAATCAATGTAGATGATGTACGTCTTCTTTGTCGTCGTAATCCAGGCCTTCTTGATAAGCTTGACGATTTTCAACGTTCATTAAAACCAATGAAAGCAACAAGTCGATCAACCAGTAGTCGAAGTAATACATCGTCTCGATATGATGATCATAATGTTGATATAACTGTCGTTGAATCATCATCAGATATGGATGATATAAATTGATAGATGAAATGTTAAAAACTATATCCACACATTGTCATTTTTGTTAAATAAACATATCTTATGGTTCATCTTTAAGTTCATTTTGATGAATAGAGAGATAAATTTGAAAGAAAATGTTTCGTGTTTTTTTTTGTTTGTGAAAAATTGTTTGATACATTATAAAGATAAATTCAGTAGACATTATTAGCCTTTTATGATGAATGATAATAATGAATGTTCATTGACCTAGTTTCTTTGTTTGTTGCAGTCGATGTTTATGAATTTTTTTTTTTGAATAGAAGAATTATCGAATATTATAACTTTGAAAAATAAAATATCGACGATCTGATTTTGTATATTAATAAAGATAATTATACTATTTTGTATAAGTGTCTGTCAACATTGTTTTATGTTATTCTTTTTTTTTTAGGGATTCACCAAATCAAATAGCTTCTTTGTATAGCCTGAATTTAAAAAAAAAGCAAACTTTTGAAATAATCGATTTTATATAAATTATTATATTTAATAATTTGATTAGGTTTTAGTTGAAAATTTCAATAGATATAATAGACTCTCTTAGTTCATCATTCTTCGTAGATAAAAATCTCTTACGTCAATACTTCACACATGAACGAGAAAGCCTAATCTATCACTTCAACGATATCGATTATTTTGTTTTTTTCTATTCATAATACAATCATAGAAGTGCTTCTTTCTTTCGTCCTACAACAAAACAAAAAATTAAAATATGTGAATATCCAAAGATAATAATAGATGGTGTAAGTAACTTAAACAATTCTTCTATTTAATTGTTTCTAATATATTTCAATGGTTATGCAAGAGCAAATAATAATGTATGAGAACAAGTCATCTCGTCTGCTAAAATCATATAATGTATTCATACAGGAAATTCGACGTTTATTTAAAGTGATATGCCTGCAAGGCGTTTAATGCATCTATCGACATTATTAAAAAAAAAACTAGTAGAGACGTGTCTTTATTGCCAATAGCATTATCGACAATGGATAGTTTCTTATACATTTCATGTAATTTTTTTTTGCTATATTTTTACAGTGCTCATAGAATCATTGATAATAATCTATTACTGTCAATCGTATAGCGATATGATTAATATTGTCCTTGTTAGTAATATAAAACACAGCTATCAAATATATAACAGAAATTATATGAAAGAAAAAAAAAGACCAGCTGTTCTGTCAAGATATTATCATATTCATGTTCGATTCCAAGGCTAACTAATTGAGATTTACTGATTATGAAAAGAAAAAGAAATAGTCGTCAGCGAAATTTATTTATTGTCGATTAGCTTTGATATATATATATATTGGTTGATTCTGCTCTTGATTTCGAATTTAGTTAAGCTGAAGAATAATTATCAAATAGAATATTGATTATGTGTGAAATCTAATTCTTCCACTTGAAAATGAAGTGACTCTTCTCATTTTCATTTTTAGCTACATAAGTTGTCATCATTGTTATATACAATAAGAGAGAAGGAGAGAGATTGTTCAAGTATTCTAGGATTAGATGAGTTCTTATTATTATTATTTTGTTTCGTTCATCGTTACCTATCAAATGAAAAAAAAAAGAACTAACTTTATGACAGCATTCATTATTATACAATTTTTATTCTTTACAAACAATATAAGTCATTCTCTTAAGATTAACACGCAAAAAAGAAACAGAAGAAACGAGTTAGATCACTTCAATCTATTTTATAATCCTTTCTTCTCATTCGTTTCTTTCATTTTCTCTTAGTTAGTCTATATACGTACAGGTGAAAGACAGAACATGCGAGATTTTCTTTCACTCTCTAAACATTAAGTAGACTGACTCTCGTGCTGCACGAAAGAACAGGAAACACTAGACGTATGTATTAATGAATAGTAGGTGGTCGTCCATTAGGATGAGTAGCTCTCGGGGTCATTTGAGTGGGCACCGTCAACACTATTCTATCCTCTTACTCAACACTACTTGAGAGTCTAGCCATCATCACCATCGCTTATTCTGCCTATTCCTCTTCTACGTCTAGGTCGTTTTTTTTTCAATCATTCTAGTCGTCACCTCAGTTGTTGTTTGTCTTTTGATATACTTTATCGAACTGTCGGTCTTGTGTTAATCGAACATTGAATATAAAGATCATCGATTCATTCATTCTTTCGCTTTTGCTCTTTCATCTATTAAATGACAATCTACGGGTTATTTTAAAAGTAAGAAACACTTGACCGTTATCAACCTCGTTTTTTGTCCTTCTTCATGCCTGGTTACTATAGAAAATGATGAGTTCAATTTTTTTGTCGACAAAATTAGTTAGGTAGACATACAAAAAAAAAAAACAAACAACCATGACTGTAATACATATAGATAGATAGAGAGATCGATAATGTAATGTAAGGTTTGATATATATATGTTTTATATGTCATTTACACATTTACTTCGTTGAACAGGTTAAACTATAATAGATTGAATAGTGTTAGATAGTTCTTGACATAAAAAAAAATAACGAATGTTACATATCTATCGAGAATATAATATTCATTGACTTTTAAAGGACAATATGAATAAAATGTTTTCACATCATTACAGCTAAGATTTGATTTCAGACATGAATGAATAGATCTTCTAATTACTTTTCCTTTTGTGTATAGTTCAACTTTTTAAAGAAATCAATTTTCTCTACTTCTTTTTTTTTTATTATTATTTGTGATTGCGTTTGTATTCTCACAGGCTTCGCGCGTGCGTGAATGTTACTGCTCATTTTCTTTCTTTTTTTTTTTGTACGATCGAGCGTCTTCTGACCTCCTCTCATCTCTCTCTATATAAGAAGTGTATACGCACGTCATCACCATGCTTCTCTTTGTATGATTATATAACCTCGATCTTTCTTTTGCTCTCGGTTGGTTACTGTTGTCTTCAACAGATGAATATCTAAATCTAACTAGTGAGTTAGAGTCAGTCGTGTTCTTTTTTTTTTTGTATTTTTATATCTTGCAACATGTTGAGATTCATTGTTTATTTGAACATTTTGTTTAAGAAAAACAAAAGAATAATATGTCAGACGGACACCAACTGAGTGTCTAATTAGTCTTCGTATGCTGAATTCTTCTAGAATAGTTTTAGAACTTTATTGAAAAATAGAGTGAATATCCTTGTCACATTATTAATTCCCAGAAGAGTTATTTCTGTTCTTATTATTATTTGTTGATAGTACTTTTTTTTCTTTTCTTTTTTCTTATGTTCCCGTTCTATTTCTTTCTT